GATAGCAAGGCTATAAATGCTATTGGAATGATGAACGTTTCGTGGGGAGCAATTCAGTTGCCTCCATGGCTCAGAGAACCACCGCACAAAAAGCTGTGCGTGCAGACTAGTGCTGAGTCATTACCTAAGCCTTGGCCCATTTCTCAGGACTGCTAGCTGAGCTGAGGATGTGATTTAATAAAAAGATGACTGGCTTCCATTTTAAAAGTTTGGGTGTGACCCTCATGGAAGAGGGATGAGGCGAGGCCTGACATTCCCTCACTGGCTGGCTTTACTCTGAAATCGCTCAAGCCAGCCTTTCCATCAGCTGTTGGCAGGGATGGTAACAAAGTCTCCTAGAGCACAGCTCATGCAGGGAGAGATGGTTATGGGTAAGTATGCATATGAATAGCTATGAAAATACATGTATGCGAAAGTGTATTTGCATTTTATAAATGAATGTGGCTGTGTGCTTCCACGTACATGTGACTGTCGATGTATGTATATACACCTATGGCTGTATGAGTATGTATACAGTGTGAGTGTGTGTGTGTGTGTGTGTGTGTGTGTGTGTGTGTGTGTGTGTGTGTGTGTACTTAGGGTGGAAGCTGTAAAAGGAGTGCCCAGAATATGACATTCAATCATTCAATCCTTAGTCCCCTTTTGCTTCGCAGAGGTATTAATTATATTCAACTGTGCAGTGTGGCGCAAGGCACTATACATCCAAAGCATAGGACAAGTTGACTACTGTGAGCAAAGCTCTGGGACTTTCTTAAAATCAGGGCTGCAGGAGCTGCCACCTGCCTGCCTGGAGAGGACTCATCCACATGCATCAAGTAACACCCAGAGCTAGTGTCCCCATTCGCCGAGGTATGTGGTGCCGGCTGAGCAACCAAAGGTGCTCACAGGCCAGAACCACACAGAGCATCCGCACCTGGCTCCACATATGCTCCTATGGGCGTGCCATGAGAGCCAGAGACCGAGGGGCACACAACAGCCAGAAGGACAGAGTCGGATGCAAACAGCCAGGCTCGCCTCCTCAATACAACCTGGGTTCTGTTCTTCCAGAACTGGTCTCTCCTCACCACTACCCTTCTCCCGCATCCTGCTGTTGCCTCCAACATTCCCGCACACAGAAGGGGCTGAATACCTCCTTAATATGTGCGCTGTGGTAAGCAACTGTGAGGGTCTGCAAGTTCAAGACAAACACCCCTGTGAGAAGAAGTACCCGTTATTCAGCAAGACGCTTCCTGTTCAGTATGGCTGGGGACTGATGCTGCAGCCTGTGGAGTGATACCAAACACCCTTCATGCATCTGCCTGTGCTGCTGCTGCTGCTGCTGCTTCTGAAATGGCCCCAAGTCCCCACATGCCTGGTGAACTCCCACTCGTCCTGGGTCAGCTTTAATAGTACTTCCTGTCTTTAGCTTTCTCTGACCCTCCACCAGGCCCTGCTGTGTTAATCGTTCCCCCAAGCACTGTGAATACCTCTGTTAGGGCTTTATCACTGGTACTTTAGCTGCATTTGCTTAAGTGTTCCCAGAGAGCCTGTCCTTGACTACCTAGAAGCCACCAGAAAGGCTTCTGTGTCCAGTGGCCCAGGAAGGGCAGGCGGGCGGCTGCTCCTACCTGTACAGGAAAGGTGCGACCGTGGCAGTGTTGGGGTGGTTGTATTGCTGCTGGGGCTGAGGTAGCTGAACACTGACGGTATTGCTTCCTGTGGTCTGGGTGGTCCCGACGGACCCACTGACAGTCTGGCTGCTGATGCTGTGGTTCAGGGTGGTCCCTCCTGGGCCTTTCCCTTCCGAGGATGCCAGGCTGGAGGAGGAACTGGAGTGTCTGCCGTCCAGCTGGGGCTTTTGCTGGGGGAGCCCCGAACTCGGCTTGCCACCCCGGCTCCGCTCCCCCTCCTTGGAAGGGGCAGGGGCACTTGGGGATTTCCCGGGCATGCTCTTCATCCCTGGTTTTGGTATTCCACTGAGGGAAGGGGCTGGCGCCTCCTTCTTGGCACTGCTGAGTTTGCCCCCTTTGGGGATGAAGCTGGCGATCTTGGAGGACTTTTTTGGCATCTCCGTCACCACTGCCCCACTGGGGTCTTCTTTTGGCCCCTCTCTGAGGTCTGGCCTCTCTGTCACAGAGGCTCTCTTGGTGAGGTCCTTGCTTTTCTCCTTTTCCTTCTCCCGCTGTTGTTTCTCCTTTTCCTTTTCATTGCCTTTCGGGGAACTCTTCTTGGTGGTCAGCGCCCGGCTGAAAGTTCTCTGGGCGATGCCCTTCAGTGCGATCTTGGGGCTGTTGGAAGGGGGGCCCGCCATGGACAGCGTGCGACTGGTGGCCTCCATCTCTTCGCTCTCTTCAACGCTGGACAGAATCTCCAACCGTTCACAGCTGGTGTCCCGCGACCCTGGTCCCTCACCCGCCTTGGAACCCCCTTTGCTGTTGAAAAGTTTTAGTTTTTCTAGCATGGACTTCTGATTATTGGGGGCTGGCTTCAAGGCTTCGGAGCTGGGCCTGGGGGCCTCGGGCACGGGCTGCTTGACTGACAGCATGGACGACGTGGCGCTGTGCTTCACGCTGACGGACTTGCTGCGCCAGGGCTTGGCGGCCCCGGGCTGGGGGATGGCCGAGGAGACATTGCAATTAGCAGGGGTGGTGGAGCTGCTGCCACTGTCCAAAGAAACAGGTGCATTTTCATTCATTCCGGGGTGGAAGGAGGCTGGGCTTGCCAATGGCTCTGCAGAGATGAGGAAGAGAAGAGAACCTGAATTACACCAGTGGACCTGCACTGACCATGAGGGAGCGCTGGCTACGGTTCCATGTAACCACAGCCCATCACTCTCCAACCCAAATGCTTTATAGCTCCATTACCTGCTTTGTATAGTGCCTGTGGTTAAATTTTAAATCCTACCTTGACTCCCTCCTGTTCTCTATCATGTATAGTTCACAGCCTCCCATCCCAGTTTGGTGTATGCTATGCAAATGCACGTTAATCTTAACATCAGTGTACACAAAGTACAATTAAGTGCTTCAGTTCATGGAAAAACAGAGAAACTCAAACCTGCACCACCATTGTGGTGGTATGGGAAAGATGCAGGAAATATCTACTGTTTTGAATTATCAGCCCACAACCCCATTTCCCAGCTATGCAAAACACTTGAGAATTATCCAACTTTAAGAAAACAATGTCACAGAGACATTAAAACAGAACACACTAAAGAAAGAAAAAAAGAGAAACCGAGTATAATCTTTACAGAAGAATAATTACCCACAGAACTTGCTAAGTCCTATCAAAGCATATCAATTTTTTCTATGTTGGCACTTGTAAAGAGTTACAAACATGTTTCAGACTAGACTTAAAATAAGAAAAACTCTTTAGCTTAAGGGTATAAACCATGCACATGGCTTCACTGTAGGCAAGAAAACATACAGGTTATCTGAGAGTCAAAGCTCTCCCCTTGGCGCTCAGGAGGTCTTTTCCCGGCCAGACTCTTTTCTCAGAAAAACCTCAACATACTTCCAAACTAGAACCGGAATTGTTCTGGGAAGGGTCGGTTTCAAACTGGAGTTCTGCTCGCCACCAAGGCCACCCATATCACAGACATGAACACTGCAGTGCCCTTCTTCACACCACAATCAGAACGATGCAGCTCTATCTCCTCCACAAGGGCTGTCAGAGTGAAAGTGGCAGGAAAGACATGTCACAGCTGAGCCCAGTGCCCACCCGCATCCCACGCCCGCCCAGGGCTCAGAACAGACAGGATGTCAGCCCCCAAAGAGCATGGCCCCATCTGCAGAGTCACAGTGTCATTTATGACTTACCTACTAGCAACAGCCACTTTCTCCCGAAACAACTCCCTGTAAAAAATTCTCCAACTGGAGAGGCTGTCCGTCCAATTGTCACAAGTGTTTTCAGTTAAACTGCTCATGTTTCTAATTAACTTTTGTCATCTGCAACTGCTCCAGTGCCCAGAAGCCTGGCGGGATTAACGGCTGCTTCTTCAGTTTTTTTTTTTTTTAATACCTATGTTCTGCTGCCTTTTAGTAACAGAGTAAACTGTATACAGAGCGGCTTTTTATGATTTAAAAGTCAACGGCCGCCAAAGCCAACTGAAGGCAGCCCCTGTGTGGGACGTGAGCGCTGAGCCAGGGGGGAAGAGCTCCCAGCAGAGGGACTGCTTCCTTTCACTCTCAGCTGCTCAGGGAAGCCACAGCTCCAGGGTGATCCAAAGCAGACCTCCCAATGTTTTAAAACACATACATCTTCCTGACTTACTGGGGATTTGGGTTTGGATGGGTGCGGGGGGAGGTTGCCGCATGATCCTCCCTAACAAAACCCATGGGGCGTCTTTGGATCTTTTCCTGGGGAGAGTCGGAGACTAGCTCGGAAACAGGCTCATGAAACCCACCCACACTGCTGGCCTTTCAGAGGGTCTTCCTAGGCCTGATGATGCTTCCGGGGGGCCTCCTGGATATCAGTGCTAGGCACGTGGTGAAGAGATCACTGCCCCCATTTTATGAGTCAGGAAACTGAGGCTCAGGGAGGGCTAATGACGGACCCGAAAGCACGTTAACTAGAAATGGGCATATCTGGAATTTGAACCCAGCTCCCCTGACATAGTGCTCCTTTGGGACTGGTCACAGCTACTTCCTTTGATGAAGAATACATTTACACAACAGCCATTTAAATGACTGGAGTGCTTTTTAGACATGCCCTTTTCAATTACTTAGGTATGTTCATGACATCCGACGTGAGGCATGAACAGCCCAGCCCCTGGAAAGGAGGCAGCCTGTACCAAAAGGCCAGCTCTCTGGAGGAAATTATAGTGACTCTCCAATCCCAACGACTTAGGACAACAGACTTACCTTTTACCTGGGCTCAGATCTGGAGCAGAAGTACTCGTTCATACATTCATTCATTTAATCTTTCATTCACATCAATGTTCATTCATTCATTCAGTGAGCACCTAGTGTGTGCTGGACATGGTTCTAAACATTTGGGAGACATCGATGACAATCAAAGCTCCCTGCCTTCCTGGAGCTTACGTTCTCGCAGGGAGGAACAGATGATAATTAATGTCATTAATAAATAAGTGTTCTCCTTTGTTAGAAAATAAGTGCTAAGGAAAAGGGGTCTTTGGGGACAGGTATCAACAGTGTCCTTACACAAACTACAATGTCACACTCAGAGGCACGGCCCTCTTTCCTAAAAATGTTTTTGGCATATTCCTCACTGACCATAAGTGACGTGAATCAATGGGACTTCTCTGTTCCCACACATTCCTTAGAATTCTTACAAAGCTTGATGGAAATGGTTTTGATATGAAATGCCCCAACCTAGTATTTCTGTGTATTTTGAACATTAACATACACAGCTAGAAATTAACCAACAACTAACTAGCTATCGGCTGACGCAGGGTTAAACAGATACCTGGCTTATCTAAGTAAAATGTTGAGACTCACTGAAATGGACATCTCCTTCAGGAAAGGTGCCAGGTGCAGAGAAAGGGCTTATACAAGATAGGCAAGAAGGACACTTACATAGACACTTCTCAGGCCATGCCGAAACAGCGCCCAGAAATGCCTGTTTACCATTCACACCCCAGCTCAACGCCTTCTCCTCTGTCAAGCTCTCTGAGACCCTCAAGCTGAATGAACTGTCTGGTTTGCATCCTGGTATTTTTCTCTACTCTGTGGTTTCCTAGGATACTGTCCATACCTACCCCCATAAAAGGATCTTGGAGGGCCACCCACTTATATCAGGCACTGGGAATACAGAGCTGAATAAAATACATCTCCTGCTCACTGTTCAAAGGAGAACAGACTTCAAAACAGAGCACAGAAATAAGGTACAGGGCTGCAGAGGGCTGTACAAGGTACCGTGAGACTCAAGGATTGGGATCCACTAATTCTCCCTAGAGAGTTTGGGAAGCCTTCACAGAGGTGAGGACTCTTAAGTTGCTACACCATGTTTCTGCTGTGGGTTGATTGGTTTGTTATTCCACTGGTCTGTGAGTTCCTCCAGGGCAGAGACTCCCTCTCTGATTGATCTTTGTGTCCCAAAGCCTGCCAGAGCATAGGAAATAGTTATTACAGTTAACCCTTGAACAATGTGGGGTTTAGAGGTACCGATCCCCTGTACAGTTGAAAACCTGTGTATAACTTTGACTTCCCCAAAACTTAACTACTGAAAGCCTATTGTTGACAGGAAGCCTTGCTGGTAACATAAACAGTTGATTAACATGCATTTTGTATGTTATATGTATTATATACTGTATCTTACCACAAAGTAAGCTAGAGAAAAGAAAACGTTATTAAAATCATAAGGAAGAGAAAACGCATTTACAGTATTTATTAAAAAAAAACATGTATAAGTGGACCCATGGAGTACAAATCCATGTTGTTCAAGAGTTAACTGAAAATGGTTTCTGAATTGTTGGTTGGTTCTTTGGACCAAGTCGCATTTAAGGAAACAGAAACACAAGGTTTGTGATTAGTCATTAGGGTTTTATTGAAACTTTTCAGCCTAAGCTCAGGAAAAAAACCGGGATCAGGACTCGGAGCTTCTGAATTTCCACTTGGTATTTAGCCTGGGCGCCCCTGGTTATGAAATGGTGGGGACATTTCCAGGCTACTCATTACAGCTATAAAAGGTAGCACTTGAAGACGATTCTGAACTTGGTTTCTAGAACAGCAGTTCCCTGAGTAGCACTAGAGGGCACCAGGGCATCTGTGGGTCAGATCATCAACACTTTTGCGCTTATGTCATGGCCAGAAATCCCCTTCATAGGGAAGGGGACTCCAGGTCATGAGGGGCCTTGTCCAGGTTACCCTGACATGGTTCTGTCATTCCTAAGGTTATCACACCAGTGATCTCAGATCTTGGCCGAACTGTTTTGGGCCTGTTCCTCTTGCTTTGGAAAGCAGCCGCTTCTAATACCAGGGTTCTGTGATTCTTAGCATGAGATTTTCCATACCAAGCCTCAAACTTTGTCACCAACTGGTGGTGTGACCCTAGAGATGCCATTTTGCCCCCTCTGGGCCTCAGTTGCCCAATTTGTAAAAAAGAGGATGAGCTATTTCTCTCGAGTCCTTTCAGCTCTGTTTCTATTCAAATCTCAGTGAGTCTCCATGAGGCCCTATGAGGCTGGGCCACAGCCAGTTTTGTCCCACGGGGCCCAAGGACGCAGCCCTCACTCACTAAGTTCTATCATTACCCTGTGTTGTAACATGCAGGTGTTTTTTTATCTTCCAACAATTCCCCTCCACAGTTCTCTTAAGACCATTTCTAATAAATGGGTAAAGCTGACTGGGTCAGGGTGTGTAGTCAATCTTGAATGAGTCTGTAGTGGATTCAGAAATGCTAGTTTCTATAAAAAAAAATGTGGGGGAGGGAGGGTGAGGTGAGTTCTTTAAAATTAAGGGCACTTCTATCCCTAATGACTAAAAGCTCTTGTTTCTTTCCTCATGTATAGAAACCTCTGTTAAAGAAATCTAACAAGGAGAAAGGGGAAAAGCACAAAATAAAGTTCTGCACGTCATTATGTCCCCAACAATGGTATGTGGGCCCCTGCAGTACATGAGATAATTTTAGATGGCACATGGGTGAACATTTTTATATTTTAAAAGTTGTATATTTATTTTATTGCATTTTAGAAAAGATAATTAGCCTATACATAAATTGGCAGTTTCATGAATATTAAATGTAGATTTAACTTGAGTTGATTTAAGGAAAAT